TAACGCTTTTGAGAGGCTTATATCTCAGCAACCGCTGGACCGAATCGCCTGCGGTCTTTTTTTGCTGGGTAACTCCATCCCTTCTAACCCGTAATTGACTACTTTTGATACACCTCAGTGACCGCCGTGGCACGTGCCACGTGAAAAGTCAAGGGTGTTCAAGCAATTTTGCAAAAGTAATGATTTTGAGAGGCTCATATCTCAGCAGCGGCTTGAGCGATTGTCTTGCGGTCATTTTTATAGGGTAGCTACATCCCTTCTTCCAAAGGTCGGATACTCTTCATCTATGTGAGTGACCCCCACTGCACGTGCAAAATACAACAATAAGAGGTGCCAAATTTGTTCCCATTTCAGTGACTCGGTAATTACTGGGGCGATTTCGCTGAAACTTGGCATACAGGTAGGCACCCACCAGGCAATGCATTCCCATGTGTTGTGGTTAGGGTGCTACTGCACGTGCGCACGTGCAGGGGGCGTTTCCAGATCTCGAGAACGGCTGGGCCGATTGCGCTCAAATTTGGTACACGGTTGGGGACCGGTTAGTAGGGTGCCGTGCAAAAGTCATTTTTGACCCCGTTTGCACGTGCGCACGTGCAGAATGCCGCTTCCAGATCTCAGGAGCGGCTGGGCCGATTGCGTTCAAATTTGGTACACCGCTAGCGACCGGTTAGAAGGGTGCTTTGCACAAGCCCGTTGGAAGTACCCTCTCGCCCTTCTGCACGTGCAAGGCTCACTATCTCGCTCGCTCGTTCTTCGCCCAAAAGGCGTTTTACTGGTGGTTAGCAAACATAATTAACCCTCGCCAGTATAGGGGGAGGGGATCGAACGGACCCCTCTCGGTTTTTCGCGTATAACTCGCGTAAACAGCGTCCGATCGCGACGAAACTTTTAGTACCCTCGAGTTTATCAATTCTACACCTACGCTGAAAATTTCATGGCCCTGACCCAAATGACCTGTAAACTGTGACCTACTTTTCGAGACCATGTTTTGCCGGAATCGCGATCCGGTGTACATACGTATGTCGGCTCGCGTTAGCCGCGCGTTTGCAGTCTTTTCGTGGTTTTAAGCGTTCAAACATGTGTCATGATGTTGCCCCCATGCAATAGGGTGGGTGTCAAGGTCACCTGAAGGTCAGGTCAGGTCACTGACCTTTGATGACCTCGGTTCACTTTTTCGAGTTTTACATGTTTCTAGGCCAGTTTTTTTTTTAGCTGAATTCGAATTTAGCAACCATATGAACAATAAATTTACGAAGTAGTTTTGATGCCTTCGTAACATGTTACGATGCTGTCAGAGGCGGTTGACACCTACTACGAATACCCAGCAGGACCCCTTCTGGTTGACCTGACCTGACCTGACCCGACCTGGCCTAAATGCATGAAGACATCATCTGTGATCAAAACTAACATGATGTTCGTGACCAGCACCCCGAAAACCCCATAGCAGCCACACTTTACGACGTTCTAACGGGTCCCGATTTTCCGAACTTTTGGGTCATTGACCTGACATGGAAGGTCAGGCCAATGCCCTAGGACCTTGAAATTGGGTATCATCGACTTCCTCTGACTTCTCGTCACGGGCAACACGCTCTTTTTTTCCGCGAAGCTCTAGCTCGATCAGGGGCGAAACGGCAAGGGGGGCGCGGGGAGTCCAACGGACCCCCCTCCCTTATACGTTCGCGGCTGGAAAAGCACCAATACGGGCGAGGGTTAATAAATACATATGCAGACGTTGGGCTTGAGGGATCGGCCACGCCATCGCGCCGAAAAGAAAAGATTCCGTTCCATGGGATGACAGTAACTGATGAGTGTTCCCTCGGTCGCGGGGATAAACGCCGAGCCAGCCAAAACATATAGAGATCTTTCATCGGAATCGACCTGAGTATTCTTATTCTGTATGTGAGAATGTCATGTGAATGCTTTTGCGTGAATGTTTTTACCTTGGTTTTTCAATGTGTTCTGACTCGTGCTTAAGAATAGCCCTATGGCCTAAGCCATGATTTCAGGGATGAGCACACAATGTAAATAAATAAATAAATAAATAAAGAGAACAGCGTGCCAGGCAGACGTGTGCCTCGACCAAAAATGAAGATCCAAGATCCGCAAGATCCCACGCAATTTCAGAATTTCAGGATCCAAGATCCCCAAGATCCCACGCAGTATCAAATTGCAAGATCCAAGATCCCCAGGATCTCACTCAAAATTGTAGGGTCCAAGATCCCCAAGATCCCACGCAAGATCTGACTTTCAGGATCCAAGATCTCCAAGATCCCACGTAATATCAAAATTTTAGGATCCAAGATCCCCAAGATCCAACGCACAATCATGAATGAATGGCAAATAATCCAGTTAAAAGTAGGTACGGCCCACGAAGTCTAAGTTGTGTTTATGCTGATATATACTTTGAAACTTTAAGCACCTTAGTAGAGTACCTATGTCTTCCAGTATAAAGTGGGTTAAACGGTTGAACATGCTTACATATGTTTTGCACATTGGTTTTCCTGGCTAGATATTCATCCTCAGACCTCAGGAGATTTGAATTTGCTGGCAATAGATAAGTTTGGTAGGCATTTAATCATGGTAGACTGATGTGTAAAATATTCCCGTTAAAAACAGGGTCCAAGATCCCCAGGATCTCTCGACAAATCCAAAACCAGGATCCAAGATCCCCAAGGTCCCTCGACAAAATCAAAAGCCAGGATCCAAGATCCCCAGGATCCCTCGACAAAATGATGACCCGAGTCCTGGATCCCTTGGATCCCTCGGCAAAACCTGAAGTGCTGGATCCAAGATCCCTCAAGATCCCGGATCTTGCAGATCCTGGATCTCGGATCTTTTTGGGATCTTGGCACAAGTCTGGTGCCAGGGACTTGGGAGCGTCTCCGGCTGTAGGGGCATGGTTATAAAAAGTTTTGCTGGGTTAGATCCACTCCGTTTGATATGAGCATTTCAGTGCTGGAGGGATGTTAGGGATTAAAAGTTAGTCTGAACGGCCATCCTGATGTGCTTTTTTGTTTTGTTTTGTTGGGTTAGGCTCTTTCAGTCTGACGAGACCATTTCAGGGCCGGAAGGATGATAGGAGGAAGAGACACTAGTCTGGGTGACTTGGTGACTCGTCGAGGCTGAATTCGATCAGTGGACAGCCACCCAGTCCCATAACAGTCACTGCACCCGGCTACGGGCGTGCTCCAGATATGGAGCTACCCTACCCGCATGGGATAAAGTTGCCCGTCCAGCCTGGAACAGGGTTGGAAGCGTGGAGAAGGATTTGACTATCCTAAGGATGGAAACGACGTACCAGAGGATCCTGATGTGTCGCCGACCGCCGAGCATAAGCCAATCTGGATGGGCGGGTCACTCAGCCCCGCTAACGAGCACCCCATCGCACCACAGCCTGTTCGTAAGGAGCCACTCGCGTCAGAATAAGGTGACCGTCCAGCCCGCATCACGTGCTTTGAGGTGTTGAGGAGAAGAATTTGCACGTATGTTCCGAGGATAGGACCGGTTATATCGGAGGGATCGGTGAAGTTTGTTTGTTTGCTGGGCCCCGACTTCTGAGGTCATTTTGCACCCATGGGATACGGGCCTGATTTGCCTTCACATACTCGTAGGTAGTTCCTTTTGTTCAGTCGCGTGTGTCGGTGGCACGCACCCGCTTCATGTTCCGGAGCAGGCCTCTGACCTGCCGGGCCTGAGAAATACGGTAGCCCCAGCCGGCCCTGGCCCCCAGCGCGCACACCAGTGCCACCTAGAGTGCATGACAGGAAGCGTGCGGTCGAGACTGTCCCGCTTGGCGGATGCCGATAACCCTGGTTATCGCTGGCGTGTTTGTAGCGTACCTACTAGCACGGCGTGCAATTGCATGTATCTGCTACTAGGTAGCGACAAGTGCCCTGGTTGAACACCAAATAGATAGCATGTTCATAAAGAGAAACAATCCGTTCGTCCCGTTGCCTGAAGCTCGGTTAGTAGAGCGTCAGATTTCCGGTGGTGAGAGCCAGGGTTCGAGTGGTTCAGGCGCTCGATATATGAAGGCTCCTCTCCGGACTTCGATGCTCTGCGGTTGCTAGAAGTTTCTGAAAGAATCTTGGCTGGGAGCCACTAGCCAGAGCAGCTGCTGCCAGCTAGTCCGTCAGTGGGACGGACCGTGCCCGCCTGCTTATCGATTCGTCAATTTTCGACTCGAGAGAAAAAGAATTATGAAGTGTAGGTAGGTACCTACTGGACACCCTTATCTTTCTTCTGAGAGTCGACAGTTGCAAGAAGGTCATATGTTACGAACATTAACTTTACCATTGACCATTGCCATGCCATTTGCCAATGTCCTTCTTCAATCGGCGCCGTGTCGGTGCCCCGATCGAAAAAAATCGCCAATTGGGCGAAACTGGGGGTTGGAAGGGGCCGGGCGGGGGGGGGGGGTGGAAGGGGTCAGGGTGGGCTGTTCCGGTTCACCGCAGGAGTTTAACATAGTGGGCAGGGTCAACTTTGATAAGTTGAAGTGATGCTCACGCTGGTGCCATTCATTCGCCAGGCCCAGGAAGACACATCCAACAGCCAACAGGAAACATACATGCAGACATTTTACCAAAATAGACAATAATAAGAAGTTTCCACCATATTCTCAGAAGACACCACCTTACCTCTTACCCCGTCCACTTTCACCAACTTTACCACCGCCCCACGCGCGCGCTTCCCCCGCTCTCGAAAGTTTTGATTTTGGCGGGCAACAAGGTTACACAAATTCAAGGCTGGATAATTGTTCGTTTCAAACAGTTTTCAGCTGACTGTTGTAAAATCATTCCAAGTGAAAATGGATATTATGCTACAATCTATTCATTCAATTTTCAAGAAAAAATAAAAATTCAAAAAGTTGATTCAAATTAAGTTTAATAATTAAATGGTGAAAAATATTGAGAAGGAAAATAAAAAGCGACAAGTACTAGTACTTATGTACTTATTACTCGTTCCCAGAAAATTACCATCACTATTGAGTTTTGCACGAGGCAGGCGACATTTCTCGAAGCAATCGGATTCTGAGGATTCTGTGACCGTTTCTATTGTGATAATTCGTGTTTGCTCCTAGTCATTGGAATGCTTGTGTGCTGATTAAATAAGTTGGTCCTGCTGAGACCAATTCACCTGTTCTGCTTAGTATTACGCACTTCAAAGGTAGGTGACAGGTTCATGTTGTTTTCGATGCATGCTCAAGCCTGCATTTGTGGCGCAATCCTATATTCAGGTTTCGTGTACCAGTCAGGACAGAACCATTTGCTTTGTCAATGCTTACATGTACATAAGAATTCACAGAATAATTCTAAACTAAATGTTTGATTGTTTATGTCAGGTGTGTATTATTGGTAAGTTAAGGCATGCAGGAACTGCAACCTGTACAACATATGGTGCCGGGCTTCAGCTTGGATGCGATACCTGTCTGTGATGGAGTCATATATGCTCTCATTTTTCAAGCTTTTGTTTAGTTTGCCTGTCATGTATCTCAATTTGTAGAGTTTTGACTGTTGGATTCCAGGTGCGGATAGTGAGAATGGTTTGAATGGAATTGCCAGACACTGACACATGACATTTTTTCTATTTAACATTTATCACTTGTGATGGAATGGTCTGGAGCTGGTGGGAGTGGCTGCAGTCAGCTGAAGTCAGTTGATTAGGGTGTGCACTGTGCAATACCCAGCTTTGATTGGCACACAATATGTATATCAGTCGGGGGGGAGGTTTGGTCAATCGTTGTCATTTTTAGCACGTGCTATTTTTGTCACACGTGCTAAAAATGACAACGATTCTGCTATTTTTGACAACGATGAGGCCGATTTCACTCCTCAGCGAGGAAATGAAGATTTTGGAAAGATAAACACTGATTTTGGAAAAGAAGTGCTGCCACCTGGTGCAAGACGAAGAATCCAGCTTTAATATGCCTGTTATTTGTATGGTAGTTTGTTTTGTGGCCTGAAGTTGGAACTTAAAATTGAAGCATCCGAAAATGATCGATATTGATCGAAAACATGATGTTGATGAAAAAAATAATATTTTAAGTTGAGAGAGGAGGCCATTTTATCCAGATGCAGTAGTTTACTTCTTGAAATTATTTTGCTAATGACGGCTGCTAATTATCCCTCATTACATGGCAGTCGTCGTAAGCAAAAATAATTTCAAGAAGTAAACCACCGCATCTGGATAAAATGGCCTCCTCTCTCAACTTAACATATTATTTTTTTCATCAACATCATGATTTCGATCAATATCGATCATTTTGGGATGCCTCAATTTAAAGTTCCAACTTCGGGCCACAAAAAAGGGTATACTTCAACGTTGGACTACCATACAAACAACGGCCATATTAAAGCTGGTTTCTTCTTCTTGCACCAGGTGGCAGCACTTCTTTTCCAAAATCAGTGCTTGTATTTCCAAAATCGTGATTTCCTCGCTGAGGAGTGAAATCGGCTTCATCGTTGCTAAAAATAGCTGATAGCGTTGTCATTTTTAGCACATGGTTGCCAAAAATGGCATGTGCTAAAAATGACAACCATTGACCAAACCTCCCCCAACTGATATATGTCTTAATTCTCCTTTTACTTAGAATTGCCCAATTTAGATTTTATGCCCATGACTGCCTATTCATAGCTAGGCCTATGCAACAGGCTCTGCTTGGTTGGGTTCCAGCTCTGCGAATCTGTCCATTAAACATTGGAGCTAAATTTCTGTAAAAAAGTAAGCTCATCGACAAGCACTCGACTTCTTAAAATGCCGAGCTAAGAAAGTTTAACAGACTTTTGTTACCCTATACAAATATGCACATTTTTCACCTGATATCCCACAGCTTTTCAGGCTATGTAAAGACATCCAAGCATAGATCTCTGACTTAAGATATTAACCAACTAATCCAGATAGATGATGCTCTGGCTAGACATTTTAGAATATGACAGGCTAGACTTTTCCTGCTAAATTTTATTCTTTTTGAGAATTTAAAGGGGAATTTCTAAACTGCTTGTCTGATTTGGCTCAAAGTTGGTATGCATGTGCTTTCAATGCTAGGGATTGTAAAGGAATAAGTGATAATTTCACACAATTACAGGAAATCTAATCATCTCTTTCATTTTGCAGAGTACCTGAAAATACATTCATCATGATTGTGGAGAAACCAGAAATCCTGAAGCAATGGATGACAGAGACAATGGAACCTCTGTAAGTGACAATATTGAATGAAAATGTTTTTTTGTTTGTTGATTTTTATCTTTCCTGATGTCTGTCAGGACTAAGAGATGCTTGTTCAGCTTGGAAGTGAAGCCATTGTAGTTTAGTTTGGACAAATAATTAGAGCAAGATTAATGTCTAACATTTATTGTCTTTTATGTTGTCAGTCTGGATGGACTCCATGACAAAGTGCCTAGTGACAATGCTATGACAAGGAACTTAAATTATAGTTATGACAGATTTACTAAGTGTCTGAATGTCTTGTTTGCATGCCATGTGTAAATGTTTTTGTGGCCCTTCACCTAGGTGTGATGCTGAGCCCGGCAAGCTGGCCAAGTATGTGCTGGCCCTGATCAAGAAAGACATGCCGCCTCAGCAGCTGCGCGAGAGCATGAAGAACAACCTGGACATCTTCCTGCACGACCAGGCGGCGCCGTTCGTGGACCGGCTGTTCGAGACGCTGGAGACCAAGTCGTACATGCCGCAGGCGTCACCCGACTCGACCACGCAGGCGGCGGCCGGCGTGTCGGGCACGGCGGCCGCCCCGGTGCCGGCCGACTCGGCCCGCCGGCGCGTCACAGAGCCCGAGGGCACGGGCCGCGGCCGCGGCGACCGGCGACCCTCGTCGCGGCCCCGCGACCGGGACGAGCGTGCCGAGCGGCCCGAGAGGAAACGGTCCTGGGAGGAGCGCCGGCGCCGCTCCCCGCCGCCGCGCGACCGACGGTCAGTCCGCCTCCCCTCACTGCCGCACATTCCCTGTAAATGTGCAGCACCAGACTGCTTGAGGGAATTAACTGTTATTATGCACGTTTCCATGTACTTTATTGTAAAATCGAGTTATTTCTTTTTTGTTGATTATGGAAGGTAAAACATTATATCAATTTGCATTACCTTTTTCGTTGCATTTATTTATTCAAAGATTGTTTTTATTCATTTAATACTATTTTCATTACCGTCATCTCACACTTTATTACCGAGAGCACATCCTGTGCCGACAGCGATAGTCGGAAGTCCGTGCACTCATATGTCGTGTACGTGTGTAGTTTATCTGGAGCTGACATCCTGTGTGTGTCGGCCGGCAGAACGCGTCGCTCCCGGTCACCGCCCCGCCTGCGGACCAAGTCTCGCTCGCCGCCGCGGCCCAAGTCCAAGTCGCCGGCCAGGAGCGGCAAGTCGGCGGTGACGGCGCGCTCGTCGCGCAGCCGCAGCCCCCGCTCTCGGTCACGGTCGCGCTCTCGTTCTCTGTCTAGGTCGCGATCTCCGCGCTACAACCGCAGCAAGTCGCCCAGTGAGTGGCCGGGGGGGGGGGGGGCGGGGTGGCCGGGCCGGTGGCCAGCGGCTGACCGGGGGACGGGCGACGTGGGAGGGAGGGCGGAGGGCGGGCACGCGGCCAACGCCCGGGGGTCGGCCGGACGATGCTGAGGGTTGGCGGCCGTGATTAACGGTCTGGGTAGGTGGGAGAGGCCGCCCCGAGGGACCAACAGAACGGCGATTGTTTGGGTTGGCAGTGTTCGTTATGGGCAACAGATCTGATCGCTCTCGGTTGGTGATCTGAGAGCTCTATTGATCTTTAATCCACTGATTGGTGATTGTGAAACGGCATCGCTACTCGCGAACAAAGCCGTTCTGCTCGTCTCTATTTCATACAAACTGAGACAGTTAACCAAGCCTTTAATCCATTTGATGAATAAATTTCTAATCTCCTAAATATGATTGCGTCCGAGGTGTAGGCCATTAGTTTTGAGCTCTTGTCTCCGTAATTGTTCGGTCAGTGCCTGCAGGCTCCGCTGCACCTACCCCAGCTGACTTCGTGTATCCCCACTCCACTGACCCCAACTGACCCTGTGTGCGCGCCTGTCCGCAGTCAAGTTTGACCGGTCGCCGCCGGCCGGCTCCGAGGCCGAGCGGGTGCCCGAGCCGGGTTCGGCCGTGTCTGATCTGCGTCAGAAGCTCAATGCCTCCGGGGCGTCCGGAAAGCAGCGCTGCAGAGACTACGACGGTCAGTCGGCTGTGGATTACCTGGCGACGGTGTATGGGACGGATCGATGTCATTTGTAATTTTTCTTGGGATTTTCACTCACTAATGACAGGCAGTAAAACGCTGCAACCACAAGATAGATAGTGATATTTATCATAGCCGGTTACTAATTGACGACAAAATAGTCATACACTTGAATCAGAGCCCGGTTATTGGATAACAACAGCATTTCGTGCGCATTTGGTAGCCATTAACGATGTTTTCAAATGAGAGTCATTAAAGCAGTGTCCTGAAATTGATTTTTCGGAGAGTGTGATTGAAGCCGCAAGGACGTCACTATTTCAAAAGGACGTTGATATCGGTGCGGAGCCTAAGCCACTGAAGATCCCTTACCTAAATGTCTTAAAATTAGCGATTTTCACTGGCAATATTGACTAATAGCACCTCAAGGCACCTCAAATGATCATATATAGACACAAAGTAATGCCAGTTTACCCCTAGTAAAATACAAAATTCAAGAATTCACCACAGATACCAAAACAACACTTAAAAAAAATGTCGTTCTTTTCCATGATCGTACACAACAGTCAACAACAAATATGCTTCAACAAAAATCAGCCCAAGAGCCAGCGGCTATCACTAAATATTGACGTCATAAGAGGGATACTATATCGAGCAAGAGGACTGACGTAAAAAAAACACGTCCAAACAAAGAGGTGGAAAACAGTTCGGAAAATTAATTTCCATAGCTTCCTGTTATGAAATTCAACTAAGAAAACTTCAAGGTGGACGCTGAATTTTTCTTGGCTGGAAAAAATGTGAAATCATTGTGCACTTTTCAGTTTTGTACAGACGTCGATTAAACGGGAATGACAACGTCAATCGACGTCCCCAACATTGCGTGTATTTTTAAGCCAAGGACGACATACTTGAATTAATACTGTTGAAATTCGGTAACTTTATTTTAATTCAAACAGATAAACACTAAACTTTTTCCCCAACCACTATCAACATATGCAAAATTAACTGCTTTTGAAGGGCATGTCCCAGGAGCAGCGCTACCCCGTTACTGTGACCTTCTGAGGGGAAAAAATAATTAAATATGTTACAGCAATTTGATACAAAAGGTATGTTGCGTGCTTATAGATAAATGTCGAAGTAATATATTCGCATGATTATTTTTTATCTATACACTGCACAGTTACTAAAACTGAAAAGTGGAAAACGACGTCCTCAGATCCCTCTATTCCGACATCTTTTCTCCTTCATATGGCAGCTATTACCTTCACATGGTAAAGGAAAAAAACCTATCCATATCTGACGCACAGAAAACGAAAATAAAACCGCGTTGTTTATTGTTGCGGCAGTTGACCAGCGGTGTAGGAAAGGGGAGTCGAGTGTAAGAGTGGGTTTGTGAGGACTTAGGATATAGGTATTTATTGTCATTCCGCAAAGCCGTGTTTTTAGGCTACAGGGGTGATATTTCTCTTTGTTAGTTTGCTTTTGGTGTTCGATATACCTGTCGACTTTTATCTGTCAGGGACGTCGTTTGGCTTTCCGGGACGTCACAAAGAGAATCTGTTAAGGTGTGGGTTTCCACCCAAATTAACGAAAATCAGGACACTGCATTAAAGTAGGCTGCGTTGAGGGCATTCACGCTAGCATTCGTACCAGACTATCGGTTTGCCTTGTGTATGCATTTGACCGCCTACCCCGTCCCGTTCCGCAACAGAGAAGGGCTACTGTATGCGCGGCGACCAGTGTCCGTATGACCACGGCCTGGACCCGGTGATCCTCAACGACGTGTCGCTGCCGCTGCCGGACGCCCTCAAGTACACCCAGCCGCCTCCGGCCTCCGTAGTGTGCGCGCCGCCAGTGACCGTGCCGCCGCACTTCAACCCGCTGGTGCAGCCGCCGCCGCGACCGGCCGTCGTAGGTGAGTGGCGGTGCTGTGACCCGGGGCGGGCGGCCGACCGGTCTGGTGTGCGCCGCGTGCCGCCCGCGACCGGAGCGGGCGGAGCCGGCTTTCACCGGCTGCCGCTGCGAAGGGTGAAAGCGCCGGACGGAGTGGGTACTAGAGATGTGCGGGGCTGATTGGTGCGTGGGGTTTGCACAACAGACTTGTGTTAAAGCTGCTCGGTGGCGCAGCTCAGTGAGTGGTTACTGTTCGGGTCAAGCTGTATCAATCTTCATTACAGTCATGACGTAATTCAATGCTCTAATGGCGATTATGTCGTCGGGAGTTAGACCTTCAATCGGAAAAAGGTCGATAAACGGAACGACGCCCTTTCAGAACGCTACTGGCCGGGTCTCCACGGTATATTCTCCGAAAACTAATGCGTAAATGTTCAATAATCGCAACTAATGCGTAGTACACATATATGACCGTTATGCCCTAAACTCGTCTAGACCGGTTGTTACGCAAGACATGTTTTTATATTCGGGCTGGCCGTACGCTCGCGCTGTGTTGGCATATGGTTGGCATGCTGGGTGGTGATGAAATCGTTATATTTACCGACCGGCCGGCGGTCGGCCGGGTCCAGCCCGGCCTGAACTGCGCCGGCCGGTGTTATGGTGTACGCCACATTTTGTGGTGTAAATGTCTGGTCAGCCAGGCGTCCAGTTACGCTGTATGTGGACGATATGGGTCATTCCTGGGATGTCGGGGGTCGCGGCGGACGGATGTGTCTCCCTGTGCTGACCCGGCTCCGGTCTGTGTTCTATGTCCCGCAGAGCCGTACAACCCGGACGCGCCGTCTCTGACGGTGACCGCTCCGGCCCCGGTCCCGGTGCCCGGCTGGCTCCCCCTGGCCAACTACTCCCGTCCGCCGCCGCCGCATGTGCGCCCCTACTACCCGGCGGCGCCGGCGCCGGTCACCGCGGCGCGCCAGCTTCTCAGCGTACAGGTGCAGGGCCCGCCGGCGGCGGCGGCGCCGGCCGGCCCGGTGCCGGTCGGGCCGCGGCCCCGGCATCCGTACACGGCTGCCGAGCGCGGCTGGGCCGGCAGGGACCCGGTGAGTCGCCAGGGGGGAGGACGGGGGCGGGGCGGCCGCCCAGGGCTGGCACGAATACCGTGACCAGAATACAGCGATGTATTCTGGTCACCGGCAGCGGCTATCCGACGACGCGGGGTGCCAGTTTTTGTTGGGACGGTCGTACAACTTGGGGAGGGGGAGGGGGAGACTGGGCTAGAATCCAAGTACCTGTCCTCGATTCAGCTGGGGCTGATTCCGCCACCCTTTTTTGTCTCAGAATATTTACTCCAACGGGGTACGACTTTCCTCTTGTGTCGGTCGTGCTTTTTATAGTGTTTGCTGATTGAAGGGTAATCGATGACATGTCAATAATCATAAATCGACTTCTAGAACGGCGACCTCCCGCTATTTTGTTCCCTAAGCTTAACCCGAGCTCCCAGTGTGTAACAGCACGCCGTGATTTCATTGATACCACGGCTTTCTGCCTCTGACTAATCTATCCCGACTGTCTGGTTCCGTTCAGAACGAGCCGCCCCGGAAGCGGGGTCATTTCGACATGAGTCGTCTGGGCGGCGCGCCGCGTCCCCGGTTCGACCCGGCCAACTGCAGTCTGGAGCTGAAAAAGGTGCCGGCCGGCCTGAACCAGATCACCCACCTAAACAACCACTTCGTCAAGTTCGGCAAAATCACCAACATCCAGGTGCGGCGACGGTGATGGGAATTCGAAATGTGTGAACTAATGGGAGAGTTCTAGTTTCCTTTAACTGCTACATTAATTGGTGTATAAAATGTGAGCTTACAATCTCCTCACCGCTGAATTAATTTGAAGCCGACCAGTTTTTTCTCATCAACACCGAAGGAAGTTTCCGATTAGATCAAGGGTAATTAAGTACTTAGTTGCGCGGCTCCGTTATCTACGTTTTTCCACGGTTTTTGCATTATGCCCATCGCTGACTCAGCTCTCCAACCCGTCCCGCCCCCCTCCCCCCCTCCCTTCCTCTGACCCTTCTGATTCCTCACTCGGTCTCTGTCCCGTCTCCTTTGACCCACCGCTCTGACCCGCCCCTCCCCTTTTTTAGGTGTCGTTCGGCGGTGACCCGGAGGCGGCGCTGGTCACGTTCAGTAACCCGGCCGAGGCCAAGGCTGCTTACAAGTGCACCGAGGCCGTGCTCAACAACCGCTTCATCAAGGTGTTCTGGCACAACAAGGAGCGGGAGGAGGCGGCCGGAGAGGTGAGTTTCCGACTGATGACTCCCCGTTCCACCCTCTCCATGCATTGACGTAGGACTGCCCGCTTAGTCAACGTTTGTCTAGTTATGTACGTCAGTGTTTTATATTTAATGCAGGTCTATGAGGGCGAGCAAATTCATAATACGCTCCATCGTTGTGTAGTGAGGGGAAAGTGCTAAGACCTCAGCTGCTGCTCTACTGACTGTGGGATGATTGTGTTGTCATGGTTGGCAGTATTGTCGTGATGTCTTAATTTTGGAAGATGGCGTGTCGTCTATCGATTGCTCTTTCAGCATTTGTCGGCTGTTGTGACTTGGCGGGATAATGGGTGCGTTTATTTGTGTTCGTGTTTTGTTTGCTGTTGTTCTAAATAATGTGAAATCGTGTCTTATTTGGACTCGTCTCTTGTCTTGACAAGCTGGACAGTGACTATAAACCAAAACGGCTACTGTCCGATTAGATTAGGAGACTGACAGCCGTTGATGTGACCATCCGTGATCTGTGTGTAATGTCTATTTGAGAGGTACGGATAGGCCGGTTCGGTCCGGGGTGGTAATAACTGGAGCCCTGGAGGGTGACCGGTGACCTGAGGCCGGGCCCCGGTGTCGCAGGCGGCCGGCGGGGCGGTGGCGGCGGCTCCGCGCGCGCCGGTCCGGTCTCGTCTGGGAGTGGTGACTGCGGTCAGCTCGCCGGCCGCGGCTACCCCCGCCCGGGTAACTGCGAGACCCACTCTGCCCCGCGCCCGCGCCCGGCCCGCTTGTCGGTGTAGATGGGTGACCGGCCCCGGCCCGCACCCGCGCACGCTGCTATTGCAGACAGCCCGCCGCACAGCGCTCTATTAGTCTCTCCAGTCCTGATCGACAGTCCTTCTCAATTCTGTCCGCATTGTGGGGGTCGGGCGGCCTCGTCTGTCTCCTCGTGGGGTCTGAAAGGCTGGTGGAGGCGCTGAATTCGCTTGGTCGGCCTCTAGAAAGCCGCTAAATGGATCGTGAGGTTGCTGTTTTTATGCTTATGTTCCTGCTGACCGTGCTTCCAATCTCTTTCTGTTCAGTATTATGGCTGGCATTCCCACTGATTCTCCTTTTATTTTGATATGCCTTTGTAGCTCGTACTTTTGGCTTATTTCTTTGCCCATGTGTTTCATCTTATCCTCAGTTATACTTCTATCTTTTACGGCTATCAGTTTTCTGGCCGAGTAGCTAGCATACAGCAGCTGCGGGCCCTCTTGCTGTTCATCAAATAAATGGTCCCCTGCATGCTGATTCGGCACATGCACATCATTCACATTTGCATACGCATTGCGTGTTTTTTTTTGCATCGTTGAAAATTTTGTATCCTGGGTATTGTTTAAGACCTTGTATATATTCGCAACCTCTTTTTAAACATTCAGTACGATTTTGATGACCAGTTAATTGTTTGACTGTTAATCATCGCTACCACGTTGTTAGCCGTGGCCATGTATTCCGACCCTGCCGTTGCCGTAATGTCCCTCCGCCCGCCGCCGGTCCGCGCCCGTCTGACGGTCCACCGGTCTGTCCGTGCGTCCGCAGGTGGTCCAGGTGTCGGCCGGGACCGCCGGCCAGCTGACCCGCACCGTCACCAACCCTGACGTACTGCGGCAGCAGGCCGAGCAGCAGGCCGCCGCCAAACAGCAGAGCATCGACGCCATCAAACTGAGCCAGGAGAAACTGGCCGCCACCGTGACGCTGCAGGCCAAACACATGGAAAAACAAAAGGTCGGTTACTGGCTTGAATGAGAGATCGAGATAAAGGTGTTTAGTGACAGCTGGTTCGCGCAGCGAGGGTTTCGTTTTTGTTTGAGGTGGGTTTTGTTGAGCTGTATATTGTCAAAATCAGAGGATTTTGATATAGCTGAGTTGCAAACTTCTTTCACTAGAGAAATATGATGAAACTGGTGACTAGCTGGCAGGTTTTCTCGTTGCTGTATGGCTCCACCAATCTCACGTTGTTCGTTTTCACAGGAGATGCTCAAGCTGGCGGCCGACTTGAAGAAGCGCAAGACGGAGCTGTTGGAGAAGCAGCTGGCGCAGCAGAAGGCGCTGTTGGCTAAGCTGGAGAACAAGTCGCTGAAGCCCGAGGAGCGCCAGAAGATTGTCACCACCGTGAAGGCGCTCCAGGTGGCCATCGACAAGACGCGCGCGGAGGCACTCTCGGCCGTGGAGCGGGAGCTGCCGGCGGCGCGCGCCAAGGAGGTGGTAAGTGTGACTCGGGACGGGGACAAGCGGTCGTGGAATGGTGCGTTTGAGATATATCTTTGGGGCATAAGATCCTTTGACCTGCCTCTTCGCTTGTGACATTAATTTTTTAATCCTGAAATATTACAGAAAATATGAAAAAGTCAGCTGTTGAATTTCGTTTCACCGTGTTGAAGGTTTCCAGTGCTCGTTTCTTCCGTTATGTGCTCCGTTGAAACCCCCTCTCCGTCCCTCGCTCTGACCGCCCTTCTCTCTGGCCGTCTCAGGCGGAGCGGGAGGTGTTGGATGCCGAGATGGACCTCTACCAGAAACAGCAGGCCGGCGTGGACACCAGTCAGCTGCAGCGGCGCGTGCTCGAGCTCAAACAGCAGCTCAGCTCGCTGTCGCGTGGACGCGGCCGGGGGCGGCCCGTCACCATGCGCGGCAGGTGAGGACCGTGTGGTGGTGCGGAGTGCTGTTCGTTGTTGTGGGCACCTTACTGAACGGCGTAGTTTGTCGCTTGTTGGCTGCCAATGGATGTAACATAACTGTAGTACGATTTGTTACGGCCCAATAAGAATAGTTGCACCTTTTTGTCGCATATGATCACCACATCACTCATATTTAGACACAAGTTTAGGTGAAATTTGGAAGGTTATTCGAAACTGATATCCTTGCATGGAGCTAGATATTTGCGACTGGTCGATGCTGACACCTGTTTCTCCTTCCTCCCACTCTCAGGGGCCGGGGCCGCGGCAGCCTGAGCTACGTCCCCGGTCAGCAGCGGACCACGACGGTGGACCGGCGGCCGACCAAACTCAACATCTCCGGCTACGAGCTCGACGAGAAGACGGCCCTGCTCGCACACCTCGCGGTGAGTCGGGACGACGGGAGAGACGCGGGAAACCGGTCCGGACTCCGGGGAACGGGCCAATCGGCGGAGTTTGTGACGTTTGGCTTAGCTCTTCGTCGAAATGTGTTTTTCTTTGTGACTGCATTTTTCAGTAAAATACGTTCAATGTGCCAGTCGCCCGTTATTCGACGTGAGTTGTATATGTGGCGATAATCTCAAGATCAAATTGAGCTTGAGGAAAGGCATTTTGGCAATATGGTGGACGACAAACATTTCCACTGGTAGCACTCGAACCGACTATTTATGCACAGTTTCCATCCAGCGCTTTTACGGCGCCACCGCATGCTACCACGCATCGTCCCCTGACGGAGCGTACTCTCCTCTGTGCCCCATTTCAGCAATATGGCGAGATCGTGGACTGTCAGAGCGACGACGCCACACCGTCAGTGGTTGTCCAGTTCCGCAGTCGACAGGAGGCCGAGGCGGCGCACAACAAGGGCCGCCAGTTCGGCGACCGGCTGCTCACCGTCAACTGGCACACGCAGCCGCCGTCCGCACCGCCCGCCGCCGCCGCCCCGGCTACAGGAGCGGCGCAGACGGGTGCCGAGGAGCCGACCGCAGCAGCAACAGCGGCAGCTGCAGCAGAAAACAAGGTGAGCACTGATCACTGATCAGGGAATGGGGACATGGGATGCTGAAAAAAAATGTGACGTTATGCGTGGGCGCCAATGTTTGTTTGCATGTCGAGCTTCTTACATTCAACCGGGTAACATTTGGATGGCGGAAATCAATGTCACGAGCAACGGCTTTGCTTCCCGACATCCAAGTCTGTGATATATCAGTCGCTTGTGTCCTGCTGTAATATCCAGTCGCTGACGCCGCTCCCCCGTGTGTCCCGTCAGTCTCCGCCCGGCTCTGTGGTCGAGATGGACCTGCTCGCCGAGGACGAGGATGTCGAGCTGGACAGTCTGGCCGCCGCGCCGGCCGACGACCTGCTCGCCGGAGACGAGGAGGAAGAGGAAGAGGAACACGAGGAGGAGCGCTCCTGGAGGCGATAGCCGCTCAGAGGCCGGCCGGCCGGCAGTCGGCTGACCTGACCTGCCGGGACCGCCCGTCGGCTACCTCGGACCGGGCCACGGTGGCCGGCGTACCTGTGTTGTTTGCACGCCCGCTCGCGTTAATTATAGTTACCTTTTCGCTCTATATCTCTCTTTCGTTCTGTGGTCGGCGCTATGTGTGCGGTGTGGCGCGGCGGCCGCCGGGGCCGCGCGGCCGGATGTACGGTGTGCGGTTCAGGGCGAGCGCGGCCGGATGCCGTGGACTCGACCCCGCGGAGATGGGATGGATTGCCGAGTTGCTGTACCCTTGTTGTGTCGATATAAGCACAGTGCCTCCCGCCGGCGACTGCAAAGGAGATGTGCTATTCTCCTCGCACGCAAAAAAAGATAAGCAGTTCGCCTGAATAAAAAACACAAAAAAGCCAAGCTGGCAGCACAAAAAAAAAACAATATGGCGGGAGGCACAACAAATAGTTGGTGGATTTTAATCACAGATTCAGCTCCCAGACTCCGTGAGGAGGGTTGAGCTCGGGCGCTGACCGCCCTGAGGGGCAAACTACGGTCAGCGTCCTGTCGGCTGGCTGGTAATTACCAGCACCGACAGTCCTTAGTCCCGCCAGCCCCCAGCCTTCCTGAGTTCCCCGCCACCCTAGCACTCCTAATCCGGGTCCCCATCACCGCGATTATTCGGTCATCTTCCAGTTCAGGCCACAGACGTCGAAGGTCCAGAGTATTGCGCAGCCTCTACCACCATCCTCATTCCTCAGTGTGAACATTACCTACCCGACCATGAGCTGAGGAAACTCGTAATCCGATTGCGTTCCCATCCGACAGCAATGTTTCCCACATTTCCTCGCCCGAGGCCTCTACCAACACCGATGCGTACAGCAGCACGGCAGGTAAGTCCGCCCAACCGGCAAGTTGAAAGGGTTTGAACACGTTGGAAAGAAAAGTATCCTCCATTGTTCAGGACCTTCTATTATCACAATACAGATGTATCCATTTAGATAAAATACCATGGAAAACAACAAGCACATACCGCCTCCCATCCCGTCCCCTCTCCCACTATCATGCGACGTCCTCGTCCTTCTGCAGCATCACGCACCAGTTGCCCTGGTCGTGGTAGCTCTCCAGGACGGAGAGTCCGCCGGCAGCCTGCACGTCCTCCTCCAGCTCGCCCGAGCGGTAGACGTGGTAGAAGCGGTGGTGGACCTCCTCCCCTCCATCCCCTCCCCCTCGGCCGCCCGATCGCAGTTTCCACGGCACCAGCATATCCTGCTGTTTGAACTCTGTCCGGTTAGTGTGTACGGGCAGCGGCAGTTCGGCGGTGTCCGCGCCCGACGCTGTCTCCGTCTCAGTCACCCGCTGCTGCCGGCCCGGTTTCAGGTAGCCGGCGGCGCGCGTCCCCTGCCGCTGCTCCAGCGCCCATACGTAGATGAGCGCCCGGCCGCCGGCACGGAGAGCCCGTCCGATCTCTGCCAGAGCCGCCACCCGCCGCTCCTGACCAATGAAGGGAGGGAGGTCAGACTCGGTGACAGAAAACAGGTGAGCAGGGAATCGAATTCATAGACAGTAACTTGTAATTGATATGCGCGCTAAATAAGCGTACCGATTAAGTGAAGATTCCACAACGCTGATCGCAGGTCATCCGACACTCCCTACCCCTCGCATTCTAAAAATCCAAAACGACGAAATATTCACCACTCCAACATAAAATCCGTCTCTAGGCCGAGCTGAGGGCACACAAGCCCTGTGTGGTCCGTTAAAGGAGCCCATCCTCCTGTCGGCTCTGAACGCACCTAGTTACATGACCTGATGATAGAGTCCCCACCCGTCCGCTCCCGAAACTCACCCGCGTGGCCAGGTGATGGAGCACGGCGATACAGATGACGGCGTCACAGGCGGCCGACCGGACCGGCAGCGGCAGGCAGCCGGCGGTCACTGTCTGGTGGCCCCGGCCGCCGCCGATGGAGCACAGACGGCTGCTCTGGTCCACTCCGACCTGGGGAAGGGTGAGTGGGGTTACAGAGAGTTAGACAGGAGGGATGGAGCGGCAGTGCTGGAAACCCAGCACAGCCGGCTGTTCTGGTCCGCAACAAGCTGACGAGAAGTCAGTGGGGAGCAGAGCGCGTCACGTCACTGCCGCAACGGGCGGCGTCACCGTCACTAAGTGTGCCGTCATCACTTTAGGAATGCGGCGAACACGGCCTGGGGTATTGTACGCTCTAACATTGCAAGACAACAATGTGGGCCACTTGTGACTAACCTATTGGATTGCAAAACTGCTTAGGAAATAAACTATCGGAATGAGTTAACCACGCTCCTGTTAGCAAAGTTCTACTAACTACGTGTGATCCACACTGTACTTCCTCCCTCCGCCGCTCACCTCGAACGTGTGCGGGTTCAGACCGAGGTATTTTCCGTTTCCACAGCCGACGTCAAGCAGCACGGAGCCGGCGGGCAGGCCGCGCACAAACCGCTCCACGCGCGGCCACGGCTTGTGACGCGTGCAGCTGAAGTGGTCGGCTATCTGCTCGTACACCTGCCGCCGAGACATACAGAGGAAGGTGAGAGGGGCGAGGGAGAAGCGTCTGGTAAGTGGTAAGAGGTAAAATACTTGAGACCGGCTACAGGAACTTCAAAGCGTTCACGTATGAATAAGCAGTGTGCACACACTTAAATGAATAATTTAATATGTCCTTGGCTTGATATGTGGGACGTGGGAGGCCTGATACCTCAAAAGTTTGCGATTTCGACTGATTCGGAATGTCCAAAATATTTGACTTTTGAGACACAAAGACACACGAAGCGTTCACTTCACTGCCGATTACTTACATTAGCTACGTAGGTCCTCTCCAGTTGTTCGGTGATACCCGTCTCTCCGTTCGACCGCTTCTCCTCAGCCCCCCGCTGCTGCTGCGAGTCGCACTGCTGGGGGAATCGGCACCGACACACGTCCCTCCGCAGTCTGCGCAGCGTCAGCGAGACGCGCGTGCCGCGCCGCGTCAGCGTCAGCTCCCCGTCTGACGTCAGAGTGATGTCCGAGTGACGCGGCACGATACAGTGCGTCCACAGGTACCTGAGCGTGAGCGAAGAAAGGGTAAAATAAGAGTCAGTGGATGGAGCGATATCGTCCATTTCAGTCGTGGTCGTGGCACAATAATTTGACAACTGTATTAAAATGCAGGATTGCTTAGGGGAGTGAGCCAACGTACTCCAGCATCAGGCCGCGGACTGACCTGGCCTCTCCGTCCATAACCAGCGCCGAACGGCGCGGCAGGCGGACGGCGACGGTGGCGCCGTGCGGCGGCGGCCGGCAGAACTCTATGGTGGTATCCGAGCCCAGACTGATGGAGACCAGCTGGTCGGTAAATGCGCTGTGGGTGTCCACGTGCGCCGGGATGCCCTGCGCGGACACGGTGTGATACAGGTGGGTGAAACAGGTGAGTGAAACCGGTCGGTGATACCAGCCAGTGATAAGGAACGGAACATATCGCCATTATCCCACAATGGAGCCGCGGGGACGCTAGTATAGAGCATCCGGGATCGTAAAAAGCACGGCTGGAATCCTACATCGACGAGTTTTACCTGACATCGACAAACGACCACCAGAGCAAACTTTGAGGTCGCAGCAACAAAAGGCCCAATATTTCACTCTTAAATGAATCTATTCTGACGCAAAAAAAAAACGTAGAGATTCGTTTCTTTTTGCTTGTTTGTTGGGTTCCGCCATTTAAAGAGTGTGTCAAGTCGACGACCATAAAAACTGGCCTGATACCTGTCCGGGCAGGTAGTGGTTGATGGTCATCTGGTCGGGCCGCTCCACCAGGTGGCCGCCATCCATCAGACGGGTCACCAGCGGCTCCACCCAGCCCGGCAGGCCGCCCGCCAGCGGCCGAGACGGGTCCACGTTATTGGTGCCGTAGTCAAACTCGTATCCAAAGTGCAAAACCTGAAAAATGGCACTCTGAGGTACTTATGTGGATTTGAGGCAGAGCATACTGATATGTTTTCAAAAACTAGCATGGTATCAATTAATAAGTATGGAATTTATCAACAAAGACAAACAGGGTACAAAAACACATAAAAGATATGCTGCTGAAATTTTGCTCCAGGGCTCCAGGCCAATCAGCAGGTCCAAACACTATCCAGGGCCCAAGCTGCTGTGCCCTGTTCTTTTCACAGGTCAGGACAGTGACTATACTGTGTGGGACAAACAGTGCAGCACATTTCCCACCTGTCTGTGCTTCATGCTGCCATCAGCTGGCCAGTGGAGCTGGCCGAGGATTAGCTCCTCCTCCTCTGCACTGAGCAGATCCATTATCAGAGCCGCACCCGGTGGAAGGCGGAACTCCAGGGGTGCACTGCACAGCTCCACTGGAACTGGGCAAGGGACTGTCACATAAGTTTCAGGGCCAGCAGTTGCAGTAGACAGTGAATGGTCAGCAGTGTAGCATAATGAACAGGCTCTTTTGTATCACACTTATTGTTATCAGCTTACCTCGCTCAGCATATGCCAAATAGAGTGGCGGTTCCCCATTCTGCCCATCCACACCATCCAGGGCCTGCATGACCTGCTGGGCTGCCTCTTTATCAGCAAACTGTATGAAGCAGAACTGCCGCCCAGGCACCATGTGGACGCTGCTGGCTGGTGCGTATGGTAAACACTTCTCCAGAATAGACTCCCGGGAGGCACCGGTGGTCAGTCCAGAGTTACAAACCACCACAATCTGCCAAAAATCAGGGACATGGCAGGGATGTCACAAACATAATTGTTGTATCTCAATCTAATTTGATTTGCATCAACAAACACAAACAGGGCAAGTGAAATAATTTCCCAAATTGAAATTCTTAATTGTAATGGGCAGCTTTGTCACATTAGGTAAAATATTCATGTATATCATATATGGCTGCAAATCAAACAAATGCAGGCAATTAATGGCTCACCTCTGTGGGAGAAGATGAAAACTGTATTTCTTTTCCTTTTGAAAGCAATGCAAACAGCCTTTGCTTCTTCCTCAGTAACTTCTTTTCATTTTTACTGTTGAGCATCATTAAACACTTATGATATTGATATGACCAAGCAGGACTTTAAAGCTCAAAAGTGTAATTCAGTGGAAATACAACGATAAATAAATAATAACTACCCATATTCCCCTTTGTCAGTTGTCACAAAAACTTGAACTCCATGTTGATGTGCAATCGCAAGGATTTGGTAGCAATTTGTTAATGTCACTGCTGCGTCATATTTGCATTCACAAAGGGTTCCAGATTGAAGTTTTCCTTTAGTCGTCATGCTGCAATGACGGGCTTCCTTCATCAGAAGAACGGTTGCTCATCCGCAGTCTCATGAACTTGTGAGATATAGGAATAAATATTCGTCTAAAGGGTTGAAAAACCCCAAAGACAAGCTTTTGAAGCACTTTGACTTTGAAAGCCCTTGCCGAACTCTCATCCACAACTGCCACCA